ATATCCCATTTTTTTAGAAATGCATTGCTGGCCTTAGATTCAAATTATGGGGGGAAAAAAACAATGACAGTGTTAATATTTGTCTTTGTGCTATTTTCAGTCAGAAATCAAAGGCGAACTTTGAAGTCACATATTATGCTAAATAGGCTTTCCCATGTGTTTCTAACACTAATATGTTTCCCTAACCCCCCTAGAAACCCCCAAGTTATGAGAAAAGTCCATCCTCTCCGTCTTCTGCCTGCTCAACTTTTCAGAAAATGTGTGCTCAAACAGACCGTTTGGAGATTTTCCCTTCATGACACCCCAGGTGGGTGACACTCCCACAGCTAGGTGTTTGTTCTGCCCTCTGAGTCTGCCTTCTCACTGTAGACAGTTGAGCATGTCGCAAGAAAGCCCAAGCCCTTCCAGAGAGGGGGCGTGGTCAGACACAGCTCATTAACATTTAAAGGTACAGACACAGAAACAGCCTGTTCTGAGCAGGGCTGAAATACAGGGGTTTATAGACATGATCAAATACAGGATCAGAGTGTTTTTTAAGAAACTTCACACACATGTTTTGTGGAGCTCTGAGACTTATTTAAACTGGTTGAAGAGGAGAATAATATGTGACCTTTATAAAAAAAAAACATTTATATTTACAATTCAGACACATTTCAAAGAAAACACATTTTTAACAGAGTTAAAATAAAATTCATAATTAAGGCTGCGATAAGGTTGGGCTAAGACAAAAACAACTAAGAAATATAATAATGTGTTATAATATGTACAAACAAACTTTTCTTTTTATTCCTCACACATGAGGACTTAAATTCAACATCCTACATATGATATATAATGTAATGAGACGTGAAGTTTTTATACTTCATGAATTACAGAAATAAAAAATGTCTTGCGATCAATAAATAATGAAATAACTAAAATACAGTATTGATATATTGAACCTCAAGTTCTCTGAATTTGCATATTCTTCATAATATCCTTTCATAGCCTGTCATAGGTTTTTAATTCAGTCATATTAATAATAATAATAACTTTATTTATTTAAAGCACCTTTAAAAAACTAACTCGACCGTCACAAGAACGCGATGAAAACCCGTCAACAAGATCAGGCTGAGCAGAGATGTGAGGAGAGTCAATTCAAAGAGAAATAAAAAAATGTAAAAAACTAATTACAGCAATAAAAAGGTCAAAGCCATAAAAAGAGATGAAAACAGTTAAAGATAAAGGCTCTAAAATAAAGCAACATTAAGCAAAAAAAAATCATGTTAAAAGAAAGAAAAGGAAAAAATCACAATAAAAGGAGATAAAAGCATTAATAAATAAATAATAAAAGGGACAAAAATGAATCAATAAGTTGAGGATATTCTGGAAATAAAATGTAAAGACTAAAAAGAATCTAAAACACAACAAGCAGGTCCATGTAAGTGGCTTTTCATAAGGGGAAATAACTGAATCTGCGAGCCGCTTATAGTGGTGGAGGCTATAGTCCTTTAAGCTAGCAACTTGGGTTCAAGTCCGACCAGCAGCACTGTTCCCCCATGTCATTCCCCACCCCTACCTGTATGCAGCAATGTAAAAAAAAAACCATTTCAAATAGGAATAAAAATAGATAGTTGAGAAAAGAGGGCAAAAAAAAGTTGTTCTGGTGGCGCATTGTTTAGTGCGCGTGCCCCATAAATGGAGGCTGTGGTCTTCCAAGCGGGCGGCCCAGGTTCAAATCCAGGCTGTTGCTCCTTTCCTGCATGTCATTCCCTACTCTCTCTCCCTGATTTCCAACTCTAGCCACTGTCCTATCCCTCCATTGACAGCACAAAAAGCTGAGGATACACTGGATGAAGTGATAGTCGTAAAGTAGGAATGTGTTAACAAAAAGCCACACTAGCTTCTCTTGTTGAATGATGAACAGGCAGCTATAGAAGCTCACGCTTCAACACGACTCTATAGCTAATAGGGGTTTCTTCATATTCTGTTTTTTATTTACATTTTGCACAGCGTCCTGAGTGTTTAGATATCAGGGTTACCTAATCATTGTGCCTGGCCTTGTCTTAAAGTAACAATAGAGCTGTTTCCTGGTCTCTATACTGATGACATAATCATCATTATTATCATTATTATAAATATTTATGTCAGGCTGATCATTGGCCCGCGGCAGCAGGACAATAGACTGAGGTCTCTGTCCACAGCAGTTTAATAATGGCCGCCTGTCCAATGGGAGCTGAAAGGAGGAGCGCATCCTGAGAAGCCTTTTCTCTGCCCCCACCCTCCACCACACACACCCCCCCTGCTCCATTCTTCAAACAGCGCTGTGACTGACAGCTCCTTTCACAGTGCTGAGACTGGCAGGGCTTTAGCACCATTCTGTATCCTGGCATGATAATGACTCAGACCAGAGCCGAGCCGGACCAAACCAAGAGGAGGGGGGGGGGGCTTTTTAATATGGTTTGGATTAGACTGAAGACTCAGTTTAAGTTTAAATGTCAGCAGAGATCAGAGATGATTCTGTCTGCAGACCGCTGAGCATCGTGATCGCGATTTAATGCAATAAATAAATAAAAACATTTTTAATGTAATCAAGCTCTGCTTTTTGTTTTCTCCAGGATCAGTTTATTTAACCTTTAGGTTGGAGGCCTGAGTATGATAACCGTGATCTCACTTTGTTGTGATGCAGTCGGATGAAGCTCAGGTTATCCATCAGGTACGCTCAAAAAATATATTTTGGCCAATTTAACGGGGAAAAAAAACAGTTTCTATTCATTTTGGACTCCGGAGGGACGTGTTGCAAACACAGGTGCTCTGTAAAAAACATGAAGAACAGCAAACAGACAGAGAATCTGTGAGTTATAGCTAATATGCTGTTTTTATCTGTTTTTAATCACAATTTATTTCCCCATCGCAGTATTGAACAATGTTATCGCACATTGCCTATTTCTCACATATCGTTCAGACCTAAAGGACAGAACTATAAATCAATAACACTGTGAGTTTGTTGTTTAGCAGAAATGATGAAACTTAATATGAAGTAAAGACAGAAAACTTGTTGTTTTGTTGTGATATAAAAACATGGATTGATTGAATTGAGCATCATGAAGCAGGAGACATTACAACAAATGATTGATTTATAAAGTGGAATAACATCAGTAGTAGTTGTCAGATTGTCAAAAATTCAAATTTTCATATTTATAAATGTATGCATCTTAGAGCAGAGGAGGAGACACGTTGGCGATTTAAACAAGAAGTAACCCAACATTTGGGTGTGTAGGGCTTCTATTTTTGTTTATTTTTGTCTTGGTATCAAAACAGATAGAGTTAGATTTTTACCAGTTTGACATCGACTTTTTTAATTCTTGCATTGTGTGGACCCTCATGGAGAGTGAAAACAGCCTCACAGACGTGCAATGAAGAGTCTGAGCGTCTGCTGGTGTCAAAGTCATCAGGACAGGAGTTTGATTGACAGGTGAAGCTCATCGTCATTGGCCTGTTTGACCTACGGCCGACAGAGACCGGCCTCCGACCGTTGACCCTGTGCTGTAACACTTCCTGTCCACAGGTCGACCGACTTCCTTCCTCCCTGCCCCCATCCTGCGACATTTTGGGTAGAGAAGAAGAGCAGATTTCACCTTCCATCAGAGGGGGGGAGGCTGAATGAGGAGCTGCACTTGGCTTCCCCCCTACTCAGGAAACTACTCCCCCCTTCTTTGACTCCCACTCAGAGGTGTAGGAACCCCCCCCCCCCCAAACAACCACCACCCCTACTCCTTTGTGCCCTCTTCACCCCCTCCTCACCCCCTCACCTCCGGGTGTCACCCCTGTCACTGATCTCTTCCGGGGCTGGGGGGTGCTGCACTCTGCACCTGTGCTGACCCGTCTAGACGAGAGGATGGCTGTTTGTTCTCTAAGGGAGAGGAGGAGGAGGAGGAGGAGGAAAAGAGGGAGAGAGGGAGGAGGAGAGAGAAATAGGAGCAATAAGAGAGAAAAGAGGAAGGAGGAGAGGGGGGAGAAATGAGGGAGACAGACAGAGAATGTTGCGACAGAAGAGGAGAAGAGGGAGGGAAGACAGAAAAGAGGGATTGGCAGAAATGGAGAGGGGAGGAGAGGAAAGAAGAAAGGGGAGTGTAGGTAGGATGAAGAAGAGTAGGAGCAATGCAGGTTGTATAGGGAGCAGGTAGGGGGGGAGGGAAGAGGAGGTAGAGAAGGAGGAGGGGGAAGAGGAAAAGTGATTGGGGGAGAAGTGGAAGAAAAAAGTTCGCTGTGGAGGAAGAGAGAGAAAAGGAGTCGGAAGGGTAGAGGAGACAGAGAGAGTGAAAGAGTAGGGTGGGAGGAGAAATAAACAAGGGAGAGGAATATGGAAGGAGAAGGGGATAAAAAAAGTAGTAGGAGAAGACAGAAGAAGAGAGGGAGAGGAAAGAAACAAGTGGAAGAGAGGGGTGGAAGGAGAGACAGAAGAGAGGGCAGGAAATAGGTGGAGGAGGAGATTGAGAGGAGGGAGAAACAAGAAGGAAGAAAAAAGGAGAGGAGGAGAAAAACAGGGAGAAAGGAAAGGGGGGCTTGGGAGAGGAGTAATAGAAAAGAAAAGGAGATGGAAAAGAGAAGTAGAGACTGAGGAGAGACAGCAAGGACAGCAAAGAAAGAATATGGAGGGGGCAGGAGAAGGAAGAGGAAGAGGAGCAGGATGATAGGAGGGAAAAGAAAAGCAGGAGAGGGGGGAGGAGCGCAGAGGTTGTGTGGGATGATCCTGCTGCAGGTTAAAAGTCAGAGTTTGTTTGTGAAGAAGGAGAAAACAGCGGAAACAGGAGGTCACCCTGCTGACCCCCCCTCACACCACCACATCCCCTCTTTCAGGGGTGCTGCTGATTGGTTTCCATAGCAACACAGTCACACATGTTCAAGATATATTTAATATTATTTTTTAAAGCCTGATGTCTCACCCCTATCTCTATCTGTCTCTCTCTCGGTCTCTCTCTCTCTCTCTTTCTCTCCCTCTCTCTCTGCGGTGCGTTCAGGTGCCTCTGGCTCGCTCACAGACTCACCTGGCTGAGCTCCTGGAAGGTGTGTGTGACGGCATGAGTGACTACGCCCTGCACATGGACCCGGACACACAGATCAGAGACTACAGGAGGTTTGCTCCACGCAGTGGGGGAGGGGCCGACGCAGACTTCCCGGACTTTAAAAACTTTCAGTTTGACGGCCCCGAGGCATCTGGAGCGCTGAAGTTTGCAGTGAGTGCAACATTTAGAATATAAGTTATTTATTTAATATTATTAAGAATCAGAAGGGGGTTTTCTTGTCAAGTACATTGACACATATAAGTTTGAGTGGTGTTTTTGTGCAAAAATAATGAACATAGAAACAGGAAGTAGAAGTAAAGTGCTTTAAACAGAGCACTACTCCTACTGTACATTAATTAATAATAATAAAAATAGAAAAGGGGAGTATACAATTTAAAAATATATATATATAAATACTCAATGTGCGGAGCTGTGTAGCTGTGCAGCTGTTTGATAGAAGAATGATCTGTGGACTGATGTCTGTTTTGTTCATTTATTCAAAGTAATATTAAGTCTTTAAATCTGTAAATTTAAACATCAAAGAAAATCGATTCAAAGTGAGGACAGATCTCACATTTCTAACTCTGTCCAATCACAGGCTTTCATTTGTGTCAACAGGATTATTATGGAAAAGTCTTCATGGTAGATAAATGTTTCAATCAGACAAAATGTCTTAAACTAATGAATAATACATTACAATAAATGTACAATAAACATTATTAGAAATTGGGAATTAGTTTAAAAGTTTGTTTGTTCACACTCTTCCAAAAGAAGTATTTATCCGTTTGTTTCTATTCTTCTTTAAATAATATAGTTTTTGGATTTTGAAAATTTCGAAAAATCAGAGAATCGAAAAAGACCAAGTACTTTGAGTTTTCTGTTGTGTCTTTCATCACAAGAAGTACACTGATTTACACAAGTCTTCATTTAATTAAAAAAATCAAATCATAGCTATATTCAGTAGAAATAATAATCTGTTCCCTCATGTGTTTTTGATTCAAATAAGTCTGCAGTTAAAAAAAGATAGCAGTGGGGCACTTCAAGGTAATGGTTAGCAACAAGCATGTCGGCAAACATTCCTTTCAGCGTTTCATAAAGATGCAAACGTTTTGTTTACTTCTCTTACAGACAGAGAGCAGAGGAGGTCACACTGTCTAAATTGCACAAATAAAATGTCTACAGAAACAATACCAGTGTATTGTGTGCGGTAGTTTGCCTGCAGTTTTTGGTAATTTCAAAACAAGAAATTACCCAAAATGAGGGGCCTATTTTAGTTACCATGGTATCTAACGTGTATTTATATTGTTTGATTTTGACTAGTATCGTATTTAAATCTACAATTCACCATTTTCAGGACTATTTATTGATTTACGAGATGAGGTCAGTATAAAATATTTTCTTTATTATTATTATTATGAAATAAAAGTGAGCGAATCTAAGAAAGGAGTGAGAAATGTTTAAACACGTTTTTACTTAACACACAATTTGTTATTGTTCCATAAAATATCTCAATCACGTTTATTTTATTTCTTACGTGTGTGTGTGTGTGTGTGTGTGTGTGTGTGTGTGTGTGTGTGTGTGTGTGTGTGTGTGTGTGTGTGTGTGTGTGTGTGTGTGTGTGTGTGTGTGTGTGTGTGTGTGTGTGTGTGTGTGTGTGTGTGTGTGTGTGTGTGTGTGTGTGTGTGTGTGTGTGTGTGTGTGTGTGTGTGTGTGTGTTTCAGTGTGAGAGCATCGTGGAGGATCTGGAAGATGACATCATGTCTCTGTTCAGTGAGGAGAGTCAAGACGTGAAAGACGAGTTATGTAACGGAGTGTCAGGTAGAATCTCACACACACACACACACACACACACTGTATCACAGCCTCATACACACAGACTACTTCTCAGGGGTGACACAGCTGCTGATTTTATGTTTGTGTCAAAAATGATTAAATGAATTCACACACGAGTGCATGTGTCTGCAGCACTCACACTCTTCAGACCATTGACTGTATAGAAAGATGGACATTGCCTGTTGTCAAAAAGTGAAGCCAAAACACTACTGTGACTGGGGCTGAATTATTGCAAATTCACATTCAAAGTCTGTGCAGTAAGTAGACTGTGCCGTGGTTTTTACGTCCTGCCCCCTCCTCTAACCAAAATCACTCATTTAACTAACCATTCAACATCGAACAGTAATAAAATATTTTTGTGTCGGTATGAAGCAGACATTCAGTTGATGGAAAGCTCAATGACTCGCTCCTCCTCTAGATTAATAATCTGGTGCACACAGCGCTGCAGGGGCCTCATTTGTCAATAGAGCTGTCAATCATGATGTTACTCATCTTTTTATAGTATTGAATAAAATAATTACACTTGGACATAATCATAACTCTCTCAGCATTAAAAGAACTCACTGCAATGACAGAAGTTTTAGAAAAATACTCAATTTACTTGCATTCTGATATTATAGTTTGATCCATGTCCCATCTGTTAACATGGAGGAGGAGGCGGAGCTTGTGATTTATGCTGCTTATACTCAGCAGTTTTAGGGTTCACTTTCGGGAAGCTGTCATGTTGTCCATTATTTTATAAATATACACAAACACACACTACAATGAGGATACAGGATAAACTTCTGAAACTGAAAATTGAATCTTGTTTTCTGTCTTAAATCAAACAACACAAAAAAAGTCTTTGTGTTTATTGTTTGTGTATGACTGCAGATGAGTTAACATCCTCGTGTGTGTGTGTGTGTGTGTGTGTGTGTGTGTGTGTGTGTGTGTGTGTGTGTGTGTGTGTGTGTGTGTGTGTGTGTGTGTGTGTGTGTGTGTGTGTGTGTGTGTGTGTGTGTGTGTGTGTGTGTGTGTGTGTGTGTGTGTGTGTGTGTGTGTGTGTGTGTGTGTGTGTGTGTGTTTCAGATTACTGCAGAGGCAGCGCACACACTAACGAGGAGTTATAGTTTATGTGATGATCAAGAAGAAGCTGTGTTACACTGAGAGGCCTTAACTGAATCTTATCTGCTTAATCACTGATGTCTTTTTAATAAAGAAAATATGAAATGATAATCCACTGTGGTGTGTTGTGTACCTGAGTGTGTGTGTTGTGTGCATGCTGCTGGTTATTTCTGATGAACACACTCATAGTAATGTGTCACTGATCGAACAGTGTCTGCTTTTTTGAGTTAATGTTTCACTCTGAGCTGCAGGAATAAAATAGAAATATAAGCAATTAAAAAAAAAAAAAGATATGCAGTGTTTCCCCATTCAGACATGCAGGTGACGAGGCAGTCTCTCGTCCGATTGGTGCAGATAGAGCAGCAGCCGTATGCTGAGTGGTGCCAAAGTCTACAGAGAGGAAACTCGTTTAGACCAAGAGGTCTGAAAAATGAAGACAATGTGGAAGTACAAAAAAACTGCAGTTCCCTGAGTGTCCACTTGAGGCTGTTAGGTCCCATATGAAAATATGGTGTGTGTGTGTGTGTGTGTGTGTGTGTGTGTGTGTGTGAGCGTGAGCGTCAGTCTGCACGAATCGGCACACCTGGGTCCACACATTTCACTGCCGCTGGACTTGGCAGAGCACCTGACCCCCCCTGGGTGGTGATCCTAAAGGGTGGTGGCTCCATGTGTCTTCTTCTTACTGAGTCCTGCAGAACCCCAGGGGGGAAAAAGTCTGACCACCAGCTCTCCAGCTCCACCCAGGTCTGAGTCCTGTTCTGGGTGACGTAACAGAGAGAACTAGTTTAAACCGCTTCTAGTCTGGACCCTCCTGAACGGGCTTGAGAGACCCCACCAGGGGCAAGTGACTTCCTCAGCACAGCTCCCAGCAACACCTTCACCATGATGAGCAGCGATTCTTTGAGGGGCAAACCACCTGCACCATAACTCACATTACTTCTTCAACAGACTTTAAGACAGCAGCATTAAACACAGAAATATTTGTCACCTGCAGATTGTCTGATGTGAATGTTGATGATGGATGAGAGCGTGTTGAGCATCACAGCAGGTCAGTGTCTGCAGAGGATGAAAGAGGCGGGACTTCCTGCTCTCTGTTGTTTCTACGAGTGTGTTTGTTGAACAGAAACAGAGTTTAGTATCTTCCAGCAGAAAGTTGCCTCTCTGAGCGGCGGCATTAACTTGTATTCTAACAAGATTAAAATATATTTGTCCTGCAGATTAGCATAGTTAAGTGTTTCTGTCTCTGGCAGGCTTTGATCAGCAGAGCGCGGTGAGGCCTCGGCTTGGCCCGGCCGTCCGGGGCCGGGTGTGAAATCGCTCTGATGTCATCCCCCATTCTCCACCTCCTTCAGCTTTCACAGGCCGTAATTATATTTCCGCCACAAAAGCCCCCGTCCCCTTCATCCATATTCCAAGTTTGACTGGGAAGCATTTAGAGCCTGTGGACAGATCTCTCAGTAGGGGGAAGGGGGCCAGGGGGGTGCCGGTCTTTGTCTGCAGGAGACACGGGGGGACATCAGGACTCACTGATATGTACTTTTCTTTTCTCCACTCATCTGCCCTTTGCTCCGCCTGCAGGAGAGGTTACCTTAAAGACACCAGGACACAGGAACTCTGGGTAAATAACCCCAATTTAAGGTTTCCCTCCTCCACGCTTGCAGAACAATCTAGAAAGCGAAACGACCTGTGGGCGAAAAGTTTTGCAGAGACTTTAACAAAAAAGAAAAGAGCGAGATCTTCTTTTGTTTCTGTGTTCAGAGCTCACAATGATAAAATGTGTGTGTGTATGTGTGTATGTGTGTGTGTGTGTGTGTGTGTCTGCTGAAGTGTTTTTAAATGTTTTCCTACATCCACTCTTGAAAATGTCTCAAAAGTTTCAGGACAGCCTGCCCCTGAAGTCTTTAGGTGGGACAGGGAGATTCTCAGGAGGCACGACAAACATTAAATGAATAATGAAGTCGCATTATTTATCAAATTCTAACAATATCAAATAAACAATGATTACGTTGTTTACTATGATGACTATACTGTCTTTGTCCAATTAAACGAGCACCGGAGAGAATTCATTTATTAACTGAAGTAAGTGTGATGTGGTGATATGTTGCCTTTAAGTTACTATTGGCTGACTACAAACTGGCCCTACAGTAACCAATGAGTGACATCACTGAGACATGTGTATTTACAGTCTGTTCCTTTTATCAATTTGCAGATGTTTTTCTAAATATCTGTTATTTGCAGCATGTTTAATGTGATTGCAGTTGTTGCTGCTTTTTTGCAGCACGTTTCTTTCACTTGCAGCATCTCAGTTGTTGCATTTGTTTTTGGACTTCTGCATTTGAATAATATTGTTTCTAAAAATGTGTTGCATGTTTTGCCCAATGTAAGTCATGTTGCCCGTTGCAGTTTACTTGCCCCTGTCTGTCACCATAAGATCTGAACCAAGAAACAATGTCGGGGTTAGTGTATACGCCTATATTTAGATTGTTTTATCAAAGTCATCAGAAAGCCTCGTTGTTTTAGACTGCTTCTCAAATGCAACACATACAGTAACGCCTTCCTCCACCTGCTGTGCACTGATCAGCTGTTCTGTTTGCAGGCTTGTAAGGAAACAACAAATACATCCAAACTGAAAAAAAAAAAGATTTGACTCCAAACAGTTTCTCAATAATGAGGCTATGACCAACATCACCTGTGGGTAATAAACTTACTATTAATAAGTACCTCATATAACCCATCTTTGAAAATACTGAACTATCCCTTTAAACAGCAGGATTAGTTATGTTTTTAAAATGATGCCGTGTAAAACTCTTAAAACAGATGTTTAAAAGTGTTACTAATTCATTGAGAATAAAGGAGATATAAATGTTATTAAAGAGTCCTTCACTCAGACAGTCTGAATGTCTCAGCTGTATACCTGCTGCACTGTTCTCACCTGCTGCTCTTAGCTCACAGAGATCATTTGACCTTCATCCAGGTTCCCCCTCATTATCATCACCCCCCCCCTTGACTGACAGCCTCACACTGAGCAGAGGGCCCAAACACAGCTTCTGCTCACGTCTAACCACATCTAACATCCTCAGATCATCAGGTCAGAGAGATCTGAGCTACTTCAACAACAAGAGGAAGAGGAGCAGTCTATAACTGTGTTGCATTCACTGACACCAGTCTGTGCTGCATTCACTGACACCAGTCTGTGCTGCATTCACTGACACCAGTCTGTGCTGCATTCACTGACACCAGTCTGTGCTGCATTCACTGACACCAGTCTGTGCCGCATTCACTGACACCAGTCTGTGGTGGAAATCATTAAAAATTGGCATTATTCTGCAGTGGAAATCACTGCGTGGGCTCAAGGAACGCTTTCAAAAGCCATTGTCGGTGAACACAATTCACCACTGCATTCACAAGTGAAGCTGAAACTCGACCATGCAGAGAGGAAACCGAATTTAAACCAGGTCCAGAAACGCCGCCTCTTTTAGGGGATGATTCAGGTCACTGAAGATGGACTGAGGCAAAGAAAAACTTTCCTGTGGTCAGACGAGTCAAAATTGACTTTTCTGTTTGGAAATAATGGACACCAGCTTGTTACCCACGCTCAGTTTAAAAGTAAGCATCAGTGATGGTACGGGTGTGCATTAGTGCACATGACATGGGTAACCTGCAGATGTAGGAAGGCTCCATTAATGCCAAACCACATTCTGCGTGTATTACAACAGAAGGGCTCCATACTTTAAGAGTCCAGGTGATAAACTGGCCTTCCTGCAGTCCTGACTTGTCACCCATTAAGAAGAATGAAACAAGACTGAGGAGACCCTGAACTGTTGAAGACCTGAAATCCTACATTAAGACAAACGCTTATAAAGTTGATGCAACAGAGCGTTAAACTGGACCCTGACCCCAAAACAATTTGAACCTTTTGCGGGTATCATTCACAAAGTCCCTCCATGTTTTCTTCACTGTCTCTGCTTTAAATCAGAATATTTTAATAAAACCTCCTAAAGACTCTATAAATCAACATAATATAATAATAATAATAATAAATACTCTCCTGTTTATAGAATCTGTTGTGTTCAAAATGAAATCCATAAAATAACGATGTGAACAATCTGATTTACATTGTTGTTTTTTTTATTCATCATCATCATCATCATCATCATCATCATCATCAACAACAACACCCTGATATAAATTATGTACACAGACCGTTAGCTGCTCAGTATATTAAACATTATAAAGGATATAAAATCAGCTGCTCAGGGACCCTTTGTGTGTGTGTCTGTTTGTGTGTGTTAAGGCATATCTGATAAAAAAACAAAACACAGAAACATAAAGATCTTTCAGACCCGCACAGGCCGCCACATGCTGCGTTCAAACACATCAGAAACTGCAGGGGAAAAAAATAATTTAAACTGTTAACAGTCCACATGTTTCATAAATAAAAAAAAAACAACAACAGCGGGACTGTTTTCTGGAACATTCACGACAACATGACAGTCTTTACAGAGCTGTGCGGGGCCGAGCCGTGCGGGGCCGAGCCGTGCGGGGCTCAGTCCGCAGACTCTCGGATCATAATGAAAGGACGTGCATGTGTGTGTGTTTCTGAACGTGTTTTAGGCACAAAGTTTTGAAGTTGATAGTCCGATTTTTTTCTTTATTTTGACAGACATCTTTAGAATCGGAGCTGTCGGCAGACTCGGAGAAAAAAAAACAATAACACAAAACGAACATTTGTTTTCTTTCAGCACAAAAATCAGAATAATTCAATTCAAATCCTGAATGCGGGGAGAATTTTTTTCTTTGTTTTTAGAAAATCTAAAGAAACAATTCATAACTAAATTCTGTTCACACACATACACACCTTGACACACACACAAACACGAACAGCAGCCAATCACAGACTGTTCGACATGAACGTGTCTGTACCTCCCACATCTACACACCTGCGGACCTGCAGGCAGGGGCGTCTTCAGGATTTATGTTCCCCCATTAAAAGACCTCACATTGGCCCTCCTCCACCACAGCCTCAGCCAGCCTTGAGATATTACTATACCCATGTTTCCCTGACACAAATGACCCATTAAACGACTCAAATGAAGGATGTCAAAATGGTTCTCCTTCAGTTCTTTTTGGAAACACACATTTTTTATAATACAACAAAAGTAGGGACCCTTTAAAGTGTGTAAGACAAGAAGTTGCACAAATACACTGTCAACGTAATTGTGCAATTCAGACAATGTGCAGGAATTTGTTGCAATTTTTAGTAATTAAAGACAAAAAAAATGACCTGATAGTGGTGTCTTCTTTTATTTATAGGTATTGATGTCTTTTGATTTTTACAATCTTAGTCAATAGATTCTTCTATCATGACTACGTTAACTTTGTGTTACACCCTAAAAAATGTTTTGCAGATTGAATTAAACAAAAACAATGACTTGAACTATGTGCATCATTTAGCATTGAAATCCTTATTAAGCCTGTAAAAGGTATTTACAGTTATCATTGCTTACTTATTAAGCCAATTTTAAAAGACTGTTATGACTTAGCAAGGAGTCAGTCCAACATTTCCCTCCCACGCCCACGCCTGCAGGTGCCCACACACACACACACACACACACACACACACACACACACACACTGGAGGCTGTGTACTCAGAATGCAGCAGGTAAATCTTTGGATTTCAGCTTTTCATCATCGATAAAGTTGATCAGACACTTCAGGGCTGCAGAGTGGGTGACCACTGTGTCTCCACTTAAAAAAAAAAACATCACTGATAAATGTGAAGAGTTATTCGTCCATCTGAGCTTTTATCAGTCTGTGTTTGTCCTCAGTCAGCTGCTCCTCTCGGTCTCTGCGTGTCCGCTCACAACTTCAAATGGGAACACTCTTATTGGTGTTTCGCTTCAAGCAGCAGCTCTCTGTAAACATCCGCTTACATAAAGTCCAGGGCTGCTCTTGATGTGATTCTGACCCCACACTGGACCTGATCACTCTGCACTTCAGACTGTTCATGGGGTCGTGAACCTGCTGTTTCTACACTTTGAGTTTAAATGCCATCGTTTGTTTTTTTCGACATGTGATCATTTGACGTGTCTCATTTTCAAAATAAAATTTCTGTCTAATCTACATTTCTTTTTTAAACAGAAAATGCCCCTGATTTGTTTTTCAACCACTTTAACATCTGACATGTACGGAATCCTTAAGATGATATGCATCAATACACTTCTCTTTTAAACTCAGTTTACCCGTGATAACAAATTCATTTCTCATAATTTAAGTTGTAGCCAGGTGAAAAAACAGCATTGTTATTCCAAGATAACAAGATACATAATTTGAGATACTGAGAAAACAATTGAAACGTATGTATTATCACGGAAAAAATGAGTAAAATAAGATGTATGGATGTGTGTTCTGTTCGGGCTTCTGTACCTGAGAGGCACGTATTGCTCTTTAATTTAAGGCTGAGTTTAACATTTAACATTTTTACGACAGATAATTAAAGTTTTTAGCAGCGGACCCTCAGTGAGTGAATGAGGCCTTTAACTAGAAGCTAACACATGCTAACATCAGGCTACACGCTAACAAGTGACGTGAAGAGGTGTGATGACTTAAACCTGAGAGAGCTCAGTTTACAACAGGTGAACTCTGACCATCTGTGAGTGACGTCGTCATCTACAGCCCTGAGGACACACACACACATACACACAAACACGCAGTCTTAAATATGGACGCTGGTTTCTGAGGAGGTTTTTGTTGCTGCCCCCGGGGTTCGGTTTCTCAGTGGGGGTTTTTCTTATGGCAAGCCATTTTAAACATTAAAGTAAACACCATCCTATCACTAATAATATTATATATATCCGTAATAGCATTTCTCCTAGTCAAAACTGTAATCTCACTGGTATGAATTGTATTTAAAGATATTCACAATCACATTCCCGCTATCCACAATTGTAATATCAAATATCCACAACGTCATTTCTCCTCAGACTAATTATGTCACTTTTACCATCCATATTTCTTGTATTGATTTCTATGTCAGATGTGCAAAGTTAAAAATCATTCCAGATATCCATAATGTAATTTTGAATATCATTAATTACAAATATTAAAACAGTTGCTGATATCTGAAATGGGAGTTTTTCCTTTGAAGAAGTCAGATATCTTGATTGTTGTGGATAGTATGGAAGCCCTCTGCGGACACAATCTATACATTTGATTGTACACGTTACCACGTGATGACGAGTCATTTTAGGTTGTTTTCTCGAGACCTCAACTTTTTCATCTCATTATCTCAAGATAAAGACACTTTTAAAAAGTCGACATATCTAGAAAATGTAGCATACTCTTTATTAATGTAAAGCAAAGTAATCAAATATATTAATGGATGTCTGCTGAGGGCTTCCGTAGAATACGAAGAATGACGTGAAACTGATGCATGAATGGCCAAAGAGATTTAGTTACAATATTGTTGTGAATATTGTGATTATAATTCAGGATAATTACAACTAATTATGGACAGGCATCTGGAATAATTTTTCATTTTGGACATCTGACATTAAAAAAAAACAATTAGAAGTGATTGGTTTATGTGAAATGAGAGTTTTTCCAAGGAAGAACTCTACTATCTTGATTTTTCATTGTGGATAGGAAGAATGATGTTGTAGATTTCTGAAATTGAAAGCAAAACATGTGAATGGTAAAAGTGACGTCATTCACCCTATTGGGAGACTGTCATTGTGGATATCTGAAATGTTCATTGTGATGAGGAAGAACTGACACACAGATATCTCCAATGAATATTCTGTCTACCTATTAAATGTTAAATCTGCTTGTCATACACACACACACACACACACACACACACACACACACACACACACACACACACACACAGTCTTAAATATGATGCTGGTTCTGAGGAGGTTGATAGGGGTCTTAGTCTGGTTATTTGTCTAGTCGCTGTCGGCCTCGTCGTCTCTTGCGCTGGTGGAGTGGTTGTAGAGTCCCTGCTCCATCAGGTGCTGCGCCAGAGCGTTCTTGTTCCCACAAGTCTTCTTGATCTTGGCGCGCTTGTTCTGGAACCAGATCTTAATCTGGGACTCGTTCAGGCCGAGATCCCGGGACAGACTCTGCCTCCGCTGCTCCGTCAGGTACCGGTTCTTCTGGAACTCCGCCTTTAACCGGAGCAGTTGCTCCGCCGTGAAGGCCGTGCGGGGCCGCTTGTCATCCTTGCTTGGAGCCGGGGCCCGCTTTGGTTTCCGGGATCTGGGTCCTGAGGGGGGGACATAATAACAGGAACCTGTGAGCTGGTGTTTCGGTTTTAAGAGTGACCATTTGAACTGGGGATCTTTAATCGTCTATAGGCCTAAAACTGATTTGTAAGACGGAAAGTGTCCAAACACTGTGACTCTGTTTATTTTTCTAAAGCTTTTTTCATTAGAGACAAATCGATTAGTCTTTCAGGCTACATTAGTCTATAAAACAGAAATATCAGATGAGTTATTTGATATTATAATAAATAATAACATCTGATGAGTCCTTAATTTAGATATTATTATGAGGAACTAAACAAAGATGCATTCATTAGGACACTTCCCGCCTTAAAAATCTGTTAGACACAGACACATTAGAGTGGAAGTGTACCAGTGAACACGATCCCAATTTAAAACAGATCTGACTTTAAATCTCTGAGAGGAATTTACAGAACCAGAAGATGCGATCAGACGGATGTGGAATATCAGGGGCGTGCTCCTCTGACCACTGCTGTCTAAATATCCTATATTCAGACTGTTTTTATTAAATAAATATTTGGAACTATAAATAATGATATTTATAATGTGGGCTGTAGGCTAAGGCATGTAGAAGTGCACTGTGTGGTGTCTGAGCGCGCTGCTGGTGCCGTCATAAAGAAGCGTCAGGCTCACTGTGGGCACCATGCATGATGATGGACGCAGGTTATAACTCTCTGGCCGAGGGTAGAAATAAAACTTCTGCCCCCCATGGCAACATGGGGGGGTAGGCTTCATTGTTTCATTACAAAACTGTAAACACTCTCATACTTCATTCCCATAATCCATCAGCTCTGCAGTAAACAAAAATCCTACCTCTAAATAGAAACGTTTAATTTGAACTCCAAATGTTTGAGACGTATGGACTACAAGTTATAGACTGATGGCTATTATGTATATTTGCACCATATAGGCCTATCCTACTGTGCATATAGGTATTGTGCATTATAGCTGACCAATAGGCCTAGACTAAATTACATCAGCCGATACTGGTTTGTTTGAACTGTGACTTCAAAAAGGCCTTCTGTTTCTTTCACACTACATCTAACCCCTGTGTTATTACCTCTTAATACCACCCCTTATCACTCTGTGCACTGTCTCTGTGCAGGCCTTTATGTTTGAAATGACAATAAAGAGAAACTTGACTGTTGATGTTTTATGGAGAGGTGTTTTTAATATTTGTCCACAACATTTAATCGACATAAAAAAAGACCTTTCAGAATGCACGACCTATAGCTAGGTCTGTAGTTAAGGGGCCTGTAGGAAACTGCAGCTGATTAATAAACGTGAAGTCGAATTATCACCTTTGTGAGAGTGAGCAGACACTGACACACTGCTCTGTGAACATTTCACTCATTAATTGAATATTTATTGATGTATTAATTTAACATCACTGCTCAATAAAAAATTCAGTTAAATGAAGTCTAATCAAAATGATATTTGAACGTTTCCGTCCAGTAGAAAAGTTAATGTCGGCCTTCTGTAAAAACCCTAAATGATAAATGTGACGTGAATAACTCTGAATGAAATCTTACATTATTTTTTTTATAAACAAACTTTAGTCATCTTTTTTTTCTTAATCTAACATTATTATTTTTTAGAATAATCTGTAAGTTTTTATTTAATATTTTAAGAGACGTTTTGTCACTTTAAAAGAGAACATAAAAATATCCTGAGTTGACACAGAAGTCCAGATTTTGAAAGCCGGACGTGGTGTGTGCGTCTCTGTGCGTGTGCGTGTGCACGGTGTCTTTACGAGGAGGAGGAAGAGGAGGAGGAGGAGGAGGAAGAGGAGGAGAAGGTTTTTTTGGGTGGGGGTGGGGTTACGATGGAGGATGGGGGGAGTTCGGCGCCTCTTTCCCTCCCTGTTACCATAGAAACTCAAATTTATCCTAAAGAAGAAGTTTCCCATATCCGAAACAATAAAGTTTCTAACACTCGGATCTTTTTTTGTTTAAATCAGGATGAAGATGAAAACAGAGAACAGATTCAAAGAGTGAGAGAGCTCCAGTGATGAAGAAGTTAAACACAGCAGGGCTCAAAGAGAGGAGGCATGAACATCAACATAAAGCCTTTATAACATATAAATGTACATCTTTATAATCATGTTTACACTGTTAATACAGCTAAAAATCTGTGTTTAAGAATAGACCTATTAATAAGCAGTATTGATCTGTATTCTATCAGCTGTGTGTGTGCGTCTTTGTGTGCGGCCTGCAGCTCCTCAAACTTTATTAACAACAATGAAAACTACATTTAGCACGGATTAAACTAAACTCTGTATAGATTAGAGAACAGGTTATTATCGAGCTCCTCCGCCTCATCATGCCTCTTTCATAACATTTAACAAACATATGAATAAGGTTGTTTTTTTTTTAACAGAGAGCGCATGAACTCATCCTGACAAAGAAAAAGTCCAAGTGCAGCACGAGTTCACTCCTAAAACAACCACACACACACACACACACACACACACACACACACACACACACACACACAGAAAAATCAATTAAATTTCCTGTACTAATATTAATATGTTGATTTGCACGAGTATGAATAAGTAGGTCTATTTGATCAGAACGAGGCCGCAGCAAAAAGAGATGTTTCACGGAATATCCTACTTTTCCCCAGAATCCAACAAACTCTTCATAAGATAAATATGTTCATAAATTGCACTTTATTTTGTTGTTTCTGCGAGAATGAAACAACTTAAAACGAGTTTAATTCGTTACTTTACATCGAATCTTTTTTTTAGGACCCTCTGCTTCACTTTTTGGACCCCCCCCATTGTCAAAAAAAATATGCTAATGAAACATCAACAAAGAAATCTGACGAACAATGGCGTTAAACTTGGTTTTTACTCCAATTATTCATATTTCAAGTCTTTCTTTCACTCATTCTTCAGCCTAACTTTATTTTTGTTTGTTTGTTTGGTTGGTTTTTTTGCATTTAAACGATCCACTCTGTGGTCAGTATTAAAAATGTGATTGTGTGTTTAAAAGCTGCAGAGTTTGAAACGCCTTGAACTCGTTTCATTTTTGAAGAAAATGTTTCAGAATATTCTCTAAAGCTGCGTCGATTTAAAATATATGTGCAGAGTTAAAAATGTGACGAATTTCGATAAAACATGATCAGTTATTTGAGTTTTGATGTTGCTATGATCTCTTTGTCAGTAAGTTGATGTGTTTATTTTGGGGGGGGGGGTCTTTCAAAGAATATAAAAATCAGTTTGTTTCTGCAGAATCATATCACGAAACACATTTAAAGATTTAGGGAAAAAAACATAAAAAAAGCTGTTTTCTTTTTGAATGTAGCCTCAAACTTGTGATTGTTTCATTGGTTTAATTGTAATTGAATTAAAAAGATCAGAGTGGTAAAGGTTTTCTGACCTGAGGACGGCCGGTCGGAGTACCGGGTACAATAGACCCAGGCCGGCCACAGCATCTGTTTGTCCCCCTGGGTCCTCTCAGCATCCTCCCCGGCCCTCAGCTCCGGCCTGCGGGCCTCACAGTCCGCCTGCTGCTCCTCTGATGACCCTGTGTCCCGGTCCTGGTCCCGGTCCTGGTCCCGATCTTCCACTCGCTGCGCGTTTTTGGAGGACTTTGTCTCTTGTCTCCGTATCAACCGTCCAAGACTGCCCCCCTCCCGGACCACGGTCCCATCCTTCTTCTGCCGGCCGAAGTCGGGCCTCAGGATGTTGTCTATGTAGAAGTTGGTGACCCGGTGGGTCTGCGGAGGTCCGGGAGGCTGAGGTGGGGACGGCCCGGCCCGGTTCGACTCCTCCTGACCTGGGTCAACCCGAGCGTTCACCTCCATCCTGCTGATCCGGATCAGCTGTGACCCCCTCTCTGTGTCCTCTGTAAAGGTTGATAATCCCACCGTGATAATTTATACAAAAAAATCTTCTTTTTTTATGAATAAAAATAAAAATGGCGCTGAGCAGAATAATCCTGAGCTGTTTTTATTCTCTGAAGATGAAAAAAAAATCTCCTGTTAAAGTTTGTCCTCGTGCATCCTTTCTAATTATTTCAATAACATATTTTTAAAATAAAATAAAAAACACTTTAATTAAAATAAATGAGTGAGAGCTCTGTCGGGGATGCTGCTCTTATCTAAACTGACTCACAAACACACGCGCTCATACTTTCACTACACATTTTGTTCTCTTTTCTTATTGGCTGACACACCCTGTGATGACGTAGTACTACGGCTTTTTTAGACACGTGCCTTGGACCAATAGAGCTGCAGAGCTGAGGTCACATGGAGGCTCCCGGAATTCCCTGGAGGCGAAAATTAACCCAATCATCAGTCAGCGTTTGATGCGTTCAGGGACCGCGGACATGATACTAACTCACTGACAGAGGCATTTAAAGTCCACGACAACTTAGCTACTGCTTGTAAATAAAGTCTGCTCCAACATGTTGTAACCAGGCTACATGACAGTGAACGCACCGCACAGGGGCATCAATGTGAACTATGAGATAAAACTAGCTGATATTAAACAAATCATAATGTTTGACTTCCTTCAAAGAAAGACTCTAGTGTTTCCACAAGCATGCGTCAAAACTAAATAGCAACAAACATTTTATTTGTATTACATTTTAAACTTGAACAGTTGAATAGGTTAAGTTTTACAAGTTGATTTTATTTCCACATAGGTTAGTTTGGTTTATGTTGTTTTTTAAGTAATAGGCATAGAGGTGAAATTGTTGTCATGATCAGGAGGTTTTGCGTCGGCGCAGTTATCACCAACTCTCAGCAGATTATTATTGTTGTCACTCATTCAGTGCGTGTTTGGGAAGTAGACGCTTTTTTGCACACTGATTGGCTTGGCCCATGCAAGCCGACCCACAGAGACGCTGTTGCGTCGCCTGCAGTTAAGGGAGCATTTAACCCTTTGTGTGTGTTGTCTAAAATCAGACGATGTCTTTTTGTTTCGTTTGCCCAAGTTTGGCAGGCGCAACAGCCGTGCAGTCCTTTTGTCGGCCCTCTGGTGCTGATCTCAGGTCAGCGATGGATGATCACTCTGCACGCTGACCATGTGATGTTTGACGCTGCTGCACTAGAGGGCGATCTTCATTTTCTTCTTCTTTCTCCCCCAAAAATGTATAGGCTTAGGCCTAAACCACATTTTAGCATTGTGTTAGCCTACATTCAATAAATTGCTTAAAGGACAAAAAGCTAGGTCTGCGTAAAGAAGCCTATTGTTCTTCTTTTAATCCTCATGTAGGCCTAGCTTGGATTCTTATTATTTTGTTATTCTTATTATTCTTTTTCTTATAATGATAATAATAATAATAATTACTTCTAGACATCACAATGAAGACTGTGCAGAAATGGATATCCAAATAAATTTCCAGTAAGCTGACTTTAGCACAGAAAAGAAAAAAAGGAATATGAGAGTTTAATGGACCACATACAGGTTATTTATTTTTTTAATTTTTTTTACAATTAAGGATCAGATCCATGAAGACGATCTGGTCTCTAAAAGAGCAGATTACATGATTTTTTTTAACCAGTTAACAGCTGAATGACGTCATTTGTATGTATGATATAATTAAATATAGGTTGCATTAAGAAATAATAACAAATGAAAATCATGGTAATTCAATTTAAATAAAAGAGAAGCAAATAACAAAAAAATAGGATCAACCGAGTGCCCCAAAGAAAGACAGAATTTAACCCTGCAGTATTGTAGAATATAGTTTCTAAATGTTTATTTGTATCGTAGCATAATTAAATTAATTTGATTTGATGAATGTTTGAGCAGGACGCTCCCCGCAGTCTGACCGTGCAGAGCAGCGTGAGTCTGAACACAGTTCCTGTTGTTTATTATCCTCATTATTAAAGTTGTATCTAAATAAGAGCTGTTCTATTTAGTCATGTTTATCATAAACATCAGTATCACGTCCGTTTATAACGTGTCTGTAGTTTGTTGATCACAGCGCTGTATAGCAGCACTGCAGGCTGTTATCCTCTGATGCTCTAAATGCATTGACTGATGATTTACATGTCGTTTTATATAATCTATGAGCATCCATATTTCAGAACAGTACACTGCAGGCTCAAGTTTCACACATTAAAATGTTAATTCAAATATATTTCCAGACTTTGAAAGTAATTTAAAATGGAAAAATCAACAAGAAAGGAATCAAAGTAAAAACACAAAAAGTCGAGTTGATAGTTTTGGTCATGTTGCGCCTGGATGACGTAATACCCTACGACCTCGTCAAAATGATCGGTTGGTTATGCAAAAAAGAAAAAGTTAGGAGATGTTCGCCTTGAAGCCATATGTGGTTTTTTTTTCTAAAGATGCTGTTTGCACCGACTCTGCAGCCCCTGCACCAGGCAAGGTCTGCTGCTACAGTCATTCAGCCACATGTGAGTTCTTGAAGTGGTTGGTTAATGCTCTGATTGATTCACTGTAAACTTTTTCCTGAAGGACGCCAAAATGCCAAATTTACATGTGGTGTAAATGTCTTGTAGGTTACATTTGGCAGCTATGATCCAATGAGATTTGAAGCGATTTTTAAAGCCTCTTAATTTAACAAACCAGTATGCTTCCTGTGAGAATGTTCTTCATCTGTCTGCTCTGCTCCTGGCACAGCTATCAAACAGACTGAGGAGAACAGTCAAATCATCTGATTTCAGTCCAACGGGACACAAATCATGTCCCCCCCATTTCCTCTCCTCGTCTCTGTGGGATCAGTTTCAGCCATTATCCTGCTCTCTGGAGATAAACCTGGTACTCTTTTCATCAAAATGAGGGTCTCTCAGGCTCCGCTGGATCATCCTGGGTCCTGCATGACTTCACATCAGTGCTGCTTCACAAAGGAGGATCTGCTCCATCGCTTTTTCATTTAAAGTCCTTTGACTCCAACTTCAGAGAGTAAATGGAATAAAAAAAAGACTGTGTGAAATATTCACAGATGTTCCCTCAGAGAGAGTCAACAGTTTACCCTGTTAGAGTAAAAACGCTTATTAAACCGGTTTCAGTAACATGACAGTGTTTACATTTATTTCATTATCAAAGTGCATCATTAAGTCAAGACATTAATGATAATCAGAGCACATTGTTTTAAAGTTTCTAGTTTTATATCTGTAGTAATGTGACCTTGACCTGATGAAGACCATCCTCTTCATCATTATCCATCAGAACGCCTCTAATTATAATTATAATAATAATATAACGTTAATATAATGTGACAGTGTAAATGGGCTAATTAAAGCAGAGTGCAGTCTTTAATGTGCTGCTGATTGAATGTGAGTCAGTAAGTAAATCTGCTGCTGCACCCCGGGGAGCATTTCTATTACAAACTCACACTGATACACACAATGTAACACACCGATACACACACTGTAACACACTGATACACACACTGATACTCACACTGCAACACACTGATACACACACTGTAACACACTGATACACACACTGATACTCACACTGCAACACACTGATACACACACTGTAACACACTGATACACACACTGATACTCACACTGTAACACACTGATACACACAATGTAACACACTGATACTCACACTGTAACACACACTGATACACACTGATACACACACTGATACTCACACTGTAACACACTGATACACACACTGTAACACACTGATACACACACTGATACTCACACTGTAACACACTGATACACACACTGTAACACACTGATACACACACTGATACTCACACTGTAACACACTGATACACACAATGTAACACACTGATACTCACACTGTAACACACTGATACACACACTGATACACACTGATACACATACTGTAACACACATTGATACACACACTGATACACACACTGTAACACACACTGATACACACACTGATACACACTAATACACACACTGTAACACATTGATACACACACTGTAACACACTGATACACACAATGTAACACACTGATACACACAATGTAACACACTGATACACACAATGTAACACACTGATACACACACACTGTAACACACAGATACACACACTGTAACACACTGATATACACACTGTAACACACTGATATACACAATGTAATACACTGATATACACAATGTAACACACTGATACACTCACTGTAACACATTGATATACACAATGTAACACACTGATACACACAATGTAACACACTGATACACACACACTGTAACACACAGATACACACACTGTAACACACTGATATACACACTGTAACACACTGATATACACAATGTAACACACTGATAAACACAATGTAACACACTGATACACTCACTGTAACACACTGATATACACAATGTAACACACTGATACACTCACTGTAACACACTGATATACACAATATAACACACTGATATACACAATTTAACACACTGATAAACACAATGTAACACACTGATACACACATTGTAACACACTGATACACACAATGTAACACACTGATATACACAATGTAACACACTGATATACACAATGTAACACACTGATACACACGCTGTAACACACTGATACACACAATGTAACACACTGATACACACAATGTAACACACTGATACACACACACTGTAACACACAGATACACACACTGTAACACACTGATATACACACTGTAACACACTGATATACACAATGTAATACACTGATAAACACAATGTAACACACTGATACACTCACTGTAACACATTGATATACACAATGTAACACACTGATACACACACTGTAACACACTGATACACACACACTGTAACACACAGATACACACACTGTAACACACTGATATACACACTGTAACACACTGATATACACAATGTAACACACTGATAAACACAATGTAACACACTGATACACTCACTGTAACACACTGATATACACAATGTAACACACTGATACACACAATTTAACACACTGATAAACACAATGTAACACACTGATACACACATTGTAACACACTGATACACACAATGTAACACACTGATATACACAATGTAACACACTGATATACACAATGTAACACACTGATACACACGCTGTAACACACTGATACACACAATGTAACACACTGATACACACAATGTAACACACTGATA